CATTACATTATTTCTCGTAATTTTGGTGGTCCTATTACTATTGATTATTCACAATGCATTATTATTATTTTATTTTTCATTTGGTGATATTATAGTTTCAGGGTTCATATCTTGATCTTGACAATTTAGTCTTCTATAGTTTTTGTTATCGAGATATTTTCTCTTGTAAAATAAAAGGTTCTTACCGGTTCTTAGGACCTACCCTTATGCCTGAAAATATTACTGTATAACAATAGTGTTTAATCCAAAAATAGATTTCTCGGTCAAAGTCAATATTAAGAAAAAATCGGGTTAATGATAACCAAGATTTACTTCACTTTCCTAATAATTTAAAGAATAAAGTAAAGAATGGAAACAATTGACAAAGAAAGAAAATACGAAATAGAGTGATAAACGCTCCCAAAATTGCGGTTAGAACTTGATGAATAAAGTAAAGAATGATTACGTATATTTCAATCTAAAATCAGATGTCATTACAAATGAGGTCTTAGTCCTTATATAGGAGCATACAATTATAATGGTTTCCTTACTTAATTCAAGCTCACTAATGTCATTAATTGCCTTGATTACCCGTTACCATATATAATTGCAACAGAAGTATTTATGGCTGAGGATTTCTTGTAACCGTAATTATATATCGATTTCATTTATGACGGGTTCGTACATCTTTCCTTCTTAACGGTCATTATTCATTCCGCTCGTGTTTCTCCTTTTACAGCTGTCAGGTCTGGTTCTTTTCTCAGTGTAACCCCGAAGGTGTTCCTTTCGTGTCTTTTCGCATTCTTTAACTCGTCTAATTAAGAACGCCACTTGTCGATATACTGACGGTCCGCGTACCATGACTTGTCACCNGCGGGAATTCTTTGCCGCCGTTTCTTGAGTATCATTATGCCATTTTCAGAATCGATGCGACGTATGTCACATCCATTTAATGCCCATGCCACATGGCTTAGCTTGATTGGTTCTCTAGTTTTTCAGCGCTTTTTAGGGTTTTTCTGCGGCTGCATCAGTCACGAAGTGACGGTTCTATTATGACACTTCATAATGATCAACTTTGATGACGATTGCCTCTTCTTATAAATACTTCATCTCACTTGATTTTTTGAAATCCTTCTCCTTTTTGCTATATTTATCTTCATAACCTTCCTTCATTTTCCTCTATCTTTCATCTGTATTTTCTTTGTTAAACTTGTCTTCTTCAACACCAGACCCTCGTAAAGTTGTGATAGTCGATGAGCTTGCTCCTTCTATTGCCTCTACTAGGAGTAGGAGAGGTGGCAGACTTCGCAGTATTGGTTCGTTATCTACTCGCAATTCTACTTTTCAAAGTAGTTCCGTCAAACCATCTTCTTCTAGATCTAGAGCCCCTTTAACCCCTAGATCTTCTTCTAAGAGTAGGGATTAGAATGAACCCATGCGTGGACCTACAGTTTCTGAGATTGTTCCTCAAGAGTTTTCCTTTGTATCATATTGTGAAGCCATGAAAAATCAAGTTTCTTCTATAGTTTCCTTTAACCCTGTTGATCACTACCCAAGTCTGATCACTCCTGATCTTCTTTCTTTAGTTCGACATAAATGTCATTGGAAACTAGATTTCCCAGTTTTAATTCCCGGTGCCAACCAAAGAATCACTTCTTACCATGTTGGCTTCTCTTTCGTTTATACCTACCCTTTCACTTTATGGTTCAAACCTCATATTGAACCGGTAATCATTGAGTTCTATCGCTATTTTAATGTTTGCCTTGGCCAAATCGGTCCTATTGTGTGGAGGGCAGTGGCATGCCTTCGTTATTTATCTGATTTGGTTTCCGCTCCTTTTACCTTCCGTCACTTACTTCATCATTACTCTCCTAAACTGTTTCGTGAATGTGTCTTTTCTCTCGTGGCTAGAATTAAAAGGGTTTTAGTCATCCCCAAGGATGACTGTAAACGTGGCTGGTATGCCCGATTTGTTGCTGCCCCACTAGTGGATTAGTGAGTGAAGACAACATGCATTTTCCCAAAAATAAAACTTTGCACGTAAGTTTTTTTTCTTTTTCTTTCTTTGATGTATTGACTTTCTTTACATAATCGTATATTTATTTCTTCAACAACCATAAAACTTTTTGAAGAAATTCCTTACTTCTATGTTTGGGTAGAAAAATATTGACTGCTGCTCCTATGGACAAAAGATCATGGAAATTTCTTTCACAGAAATTTGGTTGGAAAGTGAAGACTCACGATACCTTTTTATTCTCGTGGTTTCTTTCCCTCTTTACTTGTTCATATATAACTTTTTTCATCACCCTTTTTTTAATTAGGGTTTTCCATTCGTGGCATCAGCCCCGCATTTGTTCCCACATGTAAGTTCCGCACAAGAGCGGATTTTGAGTGCTCCGTCTTCCAAGAGAAAAACTACAGAAGCCCGTTGGTCTGATGATGAGGAGGATACTGAAGAAGGTTCCTTGGTGAGAAAACCGCATGTCAGAAGATGCGTGGTTTCAGATGTTGAAACCCCTATCTCTCAAGATTCCCCTTCTAGTTCAATTCCCTTTAGACTTGTCGATGAGCCNTCAAGTCCTGTTGAAAGGTTAATCGCCCATGGCTTTGAGGGTGATGAAGGACTCATGCCTATTTTCCGAAGAGTTTCCACTTGCTTCATTTCCGGTATTGTCAGTTACACTTACTGTTAACCCCCTTATTTCCTTGCCTAGAGTTGCCCCAATGGTTTCCCCTAATGTTGTTCCTCGTATGGAAGTTTAGCCTTCTAGCAGTAGGAGGGGTATGGAAAAAGTTGTGATTGAAGTCCCCGATGGAGAGAATTTGTTGAAAAAATCTAGACAAGCTGATGTGTGGTTGAAACCGTTACTAAGACCCGTGGAAAAGAAGAAGTTGGAGGGTCACAATTCTTTGACTTTGATGAATGACATCATTCACTCTTCTCTTAAGGTATATCTTTACCTATCTTCATTTCCTTTCTTTTTTCTCATTGTAACTCTTCTCCTTTTGTCTTTTTGTAGATTAATTTGACAGGTACAGAGCTCATGAAAAGGATTTCATGGACTGACCAGTAGGTAATTGAGCTACGCACTGAGGCTGACAACTGGAAAGAACAATTTGAAGGCCTTCAGTTGGAGAAAGACGTTCTTGCAGAGGAGAAATGAGCTTTGGAGCAATAACTGAGGATGGTCTCCGCTTAGTTAGCAGTTTTAACAGCTTCTTCCAGTCAAGTTGAGAAGGATAAGGACAGACTGGAATCTTCCTTTGCTGAACAACATTCTACGGCTGCTAAAGAGATAAGGAGTTTGAAAGAACTCCTTAATCAAAAAGAAGTTTACGCAGGTGATCTGGTGCAGATGCTTACCCAAGCTCAAGAAGATCTCCGTTCCTCTACAAGTAAGATTTAGTTCCTTGAAAGTTCTCTTGCTCCTTTGAAGATAACTTATGAAGCCTCGGAGGCAGAAAAAGAAGAATTGAAAGCTGAAATTGAGCAGTGGGAGAAGGATTATGAAGCCCTCGAAGATAAGTCATCACTTGACGTTAGTTGGGCTTTTTTGAACACTCGATTTGAGACTTTAACTGAAGCCAACCAGGAAGGTTTTGACCTTAATTCTGAGATTACGAAAGCTAAAGAAACAATTGAATAGACTCAGCAGCATCAAAGCTTCTCTACGCCCGAGGACGAAGGTTCTAAGGTTGACGGAGATGGACTTGCTCCTAGTGAAGCCGATGTTCAACCCTCTTCTCCTCAAGATGATCCTTCTCCCCCCATAGATGATGCTCCTTAGCTCTCCCCTTTTCTGATTTTGTGTTGAAAGTATTAGTTTGTTGGTTTTTGGTTGGAATTCCCTTGTGTTTTTTGGACAATATTTGGAAGGTTTTACCGCCCCTTTCTTTTTGGGGCAATGATATAAATATCTTTATTGCTCTTGCCGCATATTATGCTTTCTGCTCTTTAATTTTTTTAGCTTTATTCTTGCACTTAAAATGCTTTAATAGATTGTGACTTCCATATGCACGGGTTTTCAAAAAAGAGGGCCCTTTTATGTTAACGACACTAATGAAGATGACGTCTCTACTTCATATTGGTGCAAAGATATGAAACATGAATTAGATATGAAACAAAAAGTAATTTGAGGAAGTTTTAAATATTTGAACATCAAATAAGTAAGTTTGTACATCATTTTCATAATTGTTCGTATAACATTTTCATAACTGCTTTCAATGTAGCAAGTTTACAAATTCAAGTATGTCTTTCTGCGACTAAAATTATGGCCTTAACTTAGAAGTTCGTGGGAATATCTTACATCCTTTTTGCGAGTTTGAACGCCTTTGAATTTTTTTTTGAAAATCTTCAAGGGTTTCTTCAAGGTTTTGATTCATGCTAAACTATGCCCTTGGTATACATCTTCCTTCCTTATGTAACCTTCTATATGTAGAGTCCTCCCAGTGTTGGAGCATTGAAGTATGAAATCTCGAACACTGGATCAACTCCTTTCTTTTGGTCCTTTTCCTGAAAGGAAAATACAAACGGGACTCGAATGTAATTTTTTAGATGATGACTGCATAACCCTTTTTCCCAATCATAAAAGTTATAACCTAGACCGGAAATATTTGAGCATTCTGCGTGTCTTTCGGGTCTAATATCATCATTTGGTACGGGCCAACTTTTATCCTATCATCTAAAATGGTTAGTAAAATTCAAAAGAACAAACTAAAATTGAACTTGCGTGAAACCTAACCGTGAGTATTATCCTCGTTTAGAAGTAATACTTCTTTAAATGGATTGCATTCCAATTTGATGGTAATACTTTGCTGCCCATGGTTTCCAACTCATACGCTCATTTTCCAGCAATGCCTCTAACCCTATATGGGCCTTCCCAATATGGACTCAACTTCCCCGCGTTTGCCATTTTTGTTGACCGGAACACGTTTTTGAAGACGAAGTCCCCAATCTTGAAGTACCTCAAATCGGATTTTTTGTTATAATATCGTTCAATCATCTGCTTTTGAGCCGCCATTCAAATTAATGCTACTTCTCTCCTTTCTTCTGTCAAATCCAAATTTACTAGTAACGTTTCCTCATTTGTTGCTTCAGTGGTATGTGTGTACCTCCTGCTTGGTTCACCTATCTCCACCGGAATCAAAGCTTTTATTCCGTAAACAAGGGAAAATGGTGTCTCACCCGTACTAGTTTTTGTCATTGTTCGGTAACCCCATAACACCCCTGGGAGTACTTCTGGCCATTTGCCTTCTGATTCTTCCAATCGCTTTTTAAGTTATTGATGATAACCTTATTCGTCGATTCAGCTTGCCCATTGGCCGCTGGATGATAAGGTGCAGAAGTAATTCATTTAATATGCCAACTTTGAAAAAAATCAGTGACTTTCACGCCTATGAATTGTGGGCCATTGTCATAGAAAATCTCTTTAAGAACTCCAAAACGACATATAATATTTCTCCAAATGAAATCCGTAACTTCCTTTTCTCGCACCTGTTTGAAGGTACTTGCTTCTACCCATTTTGAGAAATAATCCGTTAAAATTAACAGAAATCGTACCTTTCCTTTAGCTTGAGGCAAAGGTCCTACGATGTCCATGCTCCATTTCATGAAGGGTCACGGTGATATAATTGAATGCAATAGTTCCGTTGGTCGATGCATGTTATTGGCATATCGTTGACATTTATCACACCTGGCTACGAAGTTTTCTGCTTCCTCTTCCATTTTTTGGTCAATAATATCCTCCCTTAGTATTGTCTTCACCAACATTCTGCCCCTGGCGTGATTGCCACAATGACCCTCATGTACTCTCTCATTACATATTCCGTTTGTGATGGTCTGAGGCATCGTGCTAAATGTCCACCAAGTATTTTATGATATAAATTTCCGCGAATTAAGCAGTACTGGCATCTTTTAACCGTAACAATTGGTTTTTCTTCTTATCCTCTGGGGCAAGATACCATACTGCAAAAAGTTCACAAATTCGTTTCTCCAATCCCAAGTTAAATTATTAAAATTTACCTCACTCTTGGTTTGATCGAGTGTTGAATGAAAAAAATGTACCAAAATAGCATTTTCTGCATTTGTTGCATCTGCGATAGACGCGAGATTTGCCAAAGCATCTACTTCTGCATTTTCCTCCCTGGTATTTGCATGACTTTCCATGTCTTAAATTGTTTAAGCAATTCTCGTACCTTTTTGAGGTATTGCTGCATTCGTGTCTCTCTCGTCACGTAAGTCCCATGCATTTGATTAACTACCTGTTGCGAGTCATTTTTTATCATAATTTGTTCAATACCAAGTTCTCGTGTCAGTCCTTAGCCTGCAATCACAACTTCATATTTTGCCTCATTGTTAGTGATTGAATAACATTTTATTGCATGTCTTATGACTTCACCTGAGGGTGGAATTAAAACAATACCCAAACCTTCTCATTTAACATTTGAAGAACCATTAGTAAATAGGGTCCAAGTCCCCGTATTAGCTCCGGTAAACACTTGTAGTTCTTTTTCTGCTTCAGGAACTAGGTTCGTGCTAAAATCCGCTACAAAATCTGCTAACACCTGCGATTTTATTATAGTTCTAGGATGATATATGATATCATATTCACTGAGTTCTATTGCCCACTTAGCTAATCTACCAGATAATTCATGTTTATGCAATATGTTCCTTAGTGAAAAAGCAGTTATAACGGAAATATGATGACGCTGAAAACAAGGTCGTAACTTTCTTAAAGCCATAATTAAAGTTAAAGCAAGCTTTTCTAGGTATGGATATCGTGTCTTAACATCTAGTAAATACTTACTAACATAATAATTTGGGGATTGTTTACCTTTATCTTCACGTACCAATACCGCACTTACCGCTACTTCTAACACAACGAGATAAACGAGCAATCTTTCTCCGTCTTTTGGTTTGGTTAACATATGTGGATTCGATAGATGCAACTTTAGGTTCTTCAGAGCTTGTTGGCACTCGTAAGTCCATTCAAACTGATATTGCTTTTTCAACACTGAAAAGAATTTAAAACTTTTTTCTGATGGCTTTGATATGAATCTTCCCAGAGCTGCTATCCTGCTTTTTAATCTCTGCACTTCTTTCTTGCTCGTGAGTATATCTGGTATTTCCTAAATATCTTTGATCTATGCGAGATTTACTTCAATACCTCTACTAGAAATAAGAAAACCTAAAAACTTACCTAAAGCCACACCAAAGCGCACTTTTCCGGATAACTTCATGTTGTACTTGCGGAGAATGTCAAAGGTCTCAGACAAATGCTGAAAATGATCCCCCTTGTGTTGACTTTACCAACATATCATCTATGTAGACTTCCATGGTTTTTCCAAGGTGTTTTAGAAACATTTCAGTCACCAATCTCTGATACGTGGCTCCAACATTTTTTAGGCCAAATGACATGACTTTGTAACAGTAAGTCCCCCTGTCTGTGATAAACGAAGTTTTTTCTTCATCTAGAGTGTCCATTTTTATCTTGTTATAACCTGAATATGCATCTAAAAAACTTAAAAGCTCATGACCTACGGTAAAATCAATTAATTGATCTATATGTAGTAAATGAAATGAATCTTTAGGACAAGCCTTATTTAAATCAGTATAGTCTATACAAACTCGCTATTTTCCATTCTTTTTTGGAACCACAATGGTATTAGCTAACCAGTCAGGGTACTTTACCTCTCGTATTGAACCAATTTTCAAAAGTTTTTGTACCTCATCCTGGATTACTTGATTTTTGAAGGACCCTTGCTTCCTTTTCTTTTGCGTGACAGGTGAGTGTAATGGATCCTCATTCAGCTTATGACTCATCACCTCCGGTGGTATACTTGTCATATCTGAATGCGACCAAGCAAAACAATTTGCGTTAGCACGTAAAAATTTAATTAACTTACCTTTCATCTCTGGGCTCAAATTTGCTCTGAGGTAAACTTTTCTGTCTGGCCAGTGGATAAATAGTATTACGACTTAGAGCTCCTTAGTGGTTGTTTTAATGTTATCATATTCCTTTGGCTCTTGAATCACATTAGGTCTCGAGTCGACATCAGTCTCCCCTTGCATGTTTTCAGTTGAGGTTTGAACAACAGTGTCCTCAACTGGATTCTGTAATTGCTATTTCGCATCTGCTTCATTGGCTACTGTGCTTGCAATCACCACCGAGTTAATACTTCGTGAAGCTTGTTGATCTCCACGGATTCTTCGAATTCCCCACTGTGAAGGAATTTGGTAACTTGATGCAATGTGGATGGGACAATATCCATATCATGAATCCATGGTCTTCCCAAAATTATATTATAGGCCATGTCCGCGTCTATCACTTGGAACTTTGTATCCTTGATGACCCCTTCTACAAATGTGGTAAGTACAACTTCCCTTTTCGTAACAACGCTTGAATTATCAAACCTAGACAAGGACTGTGCTTTTGGTATGACCTTATCATTAACTTGCATTGCATTCACCACCATCAGTAAAATGATATTCACTGAGCTACCTGGATCAATCAAAACTCGTTTTACATTAGTATCATATACAAGTAGAGATATTACCAATACATTGTTGTGAGGAATCATCAAGTCGTCCGCGTCTTCATCATCAAATATTATACTATCGCCATCCAAGACTTTGCGGACTCTCTTTCCATGAGTGACGGTAACTTTTGAAGTCTTTTTCGCAGCCGTGTATATTACTTCATTAACCTCATCTCATTCGGTTATAACATTGACTGTTCTCTTTGGTGATGGAGGTTTTGGGAGTTCTTGTCTGTTCTTCATGTATGATTGTCTCTCTTTTTCACTGAATAGATCAGTAAGATAGCATTGCTTCAATAAATGTTTGACCTCTCCTTGCAAAAGCCTGCAATCTGCTGTCTAATGGCCATGATCATTATGAAACTCGCACAAAAAATCTGGGTTTCTTTTGTTCGGATCTGATCTCATTTCTTTTGGCCATCGCACCTTATCTCCCATACCTCTTAAAACAGCCACCAATCCGGAGGTGCTAATGTTAAAGCTATAATCCTCTATTCTTGTTTGTGTACTGGATCATTGCTTCAGGAATCCCACTCATTTTTTAACCTGGATGAAGAACTCGCGTCTTTTTGTCTTGATTTTGAATCAAATTGTGCATTCTCCTGTTTAGATCGAGAGTATCGCCCCGCAGGTCCCATGTATGGCTCGTACTTTTTTTTTTACCGGACCTCTTTTTTCTGATTCTGAGCGTCTCGAACCTGGTCTTTCTTCGGCCCTTGAAAGTGCTACTTTATCTTCTTCTATTCGCAGCTTCGTACTGTATCTATTGTACACATCAATCCAAGTTGTTGCAGGAAATTCTCGCAAACTTTCTTTCAACCTCTTCTTGGCTTCTAAACTTTTCTTGTTTAAGTTACTCGCGAATGCCATAGCCGTCCAGTTATCAGGTACTCGAGGCAACACCATCCTCTCTCGTTGGAATATATTTACGAATTCCTTGAGCAATTCTGTACTCCCTTGTTTAACCTTGAAGATGTCTTCCATCCTTTTTTCAACTTTTTGAGCCCCCGAATGTACTTTTATAAATGAATCTGCAAGCTCAGCAAAAGAATCAATGGAATTTTTTTAGGTAAAAGAGAATACCATATTAACGCTCCTTTATTGAGTGTTTCGCCAAACGTTTTAACCAAAACTGATTCGATCACCTGCTTTGTTAAATCATTGCCTTTCACGTCGGTAGTGAACGCGGTTACATAATCCCGAGGGTCAGCTGTTCAATCATATTTGGGAATATCAGGAATTTTAAACCTTTTGAAAATTGGTAAAGGTGCTGCAAATCACTTGGCTTCCAGGGTTGCTGTGAATACTTGTCAATATCCACACCTTTGATTACGGGAGGCATGCCATGTATTTGCTCTATATGCTCGTTTTGCTCCTGCAACTGTTTTTACAAAGTTAGCGCTAAACGTTGTGAACTAGAATTATTTGGTGTATATGACCCTCCATCGCGAGATTCATTGGGAATTTCTCCACTTACAGAGTTATCAAACCCCGAACGCGGGTTCCAAAAGTTGTTGTATTAACTGGTGGACGAGTTTGCGCTGCGTTGGGTAATCCTATGGCAAAAGCCTGCAGTGCACTGTTCACGTGCTCTGCAATCAATTGTTTTAGAGCATCCTGCTCCATGGTTTGGTTGTCTCTATGCTGATCATCAGTGCACGAAGCAGACCTTTCAGATGAACTTTCACGGGATTTGATGAGGGAATCTCGTAGGTGTGTGATGTGGTGGAGTTCCACCTTGTTGGTTTAGCTGGTTGTTCTCGTTAGCAGTTGACATATTTGGTCGTTAAAAATAAAGTTTGGAAAGTGAACAAATTATCAGATTTCCGGTAACGGAACCAATTTATTTAACCCAAAAATAGATTTTTCGGTCAAAGTCAATATTAAGAAGAAATCGGGTTACTGATAACCAAGATTTACTTCACTTCCCTAATAATTTGAAGAATAAAGTAAGGAATGAAAATAATTGACAAAGAAAGAAAATACGAAATAGAGTGATAAACGCTCCCAAAATTGCGGTTAGAACTTGGTGAATAAAATAAAGAATGATTGCGTACATTTCAATCTAAAATGAGATGTCATTACAAATGAGGTCTTAGTCCTTATATAAGAGCATACAATTATAATGATTTCACTACTAGAAATTCGGCAAAAATCGATCAAGGTCGACCGACCAACTTTGGTCGGTCAAAAAACAGGCCAAAAAACCGACCAAAGTTGGTCGGTTTTTCAAAATATTTTATTTTTTAATTTGTTTTACGAAACTGACCAACTTTGTCAGTTTTTCTTGGCACAAAAATGAGGAAAACTATTTTTGAGTCCCGCTTAATTTATTTTTTAAGAAACCGACCAAATTTTGATCGGGTTTTCAATTAAAATAAATAAAAATTAATTTTAAAAAAACCGACCAAAATTGGTCGGTTAATTCGGCCAGTCATTTTAAAAAACCGACCAACTTTGGTCGGTAATTTTATTTTTTAATAAAATCGACCAACTTTGGTCGGTTATTTTCGTGCGAAAATACAATTAAAGAGTATTAAATCAAATAAAAGATAGTCTTAAAACAAAATGCACTAATGGTCTAGTGGTAAAATAGTATCCTGCCACAGTACAGACCCTGGTTCGATT